CCCCCCCCCCCCCCCCCCCCCTCCTCCCCTCCAGCAGGTTGAAAACACTCAACAACGTGCTGCCAGGGACAACGACCACCACCACCACTACCATGTCTCTCAGTTCATCCTCTTCCGCGGCGGCTACCCTAGCCTACGCAGCACCGGCCTTCCTGGCGCCCGCAAACCTGAAGGCCTCCCGGCGACAGCAAGCTGGCGGCTGCGGGTCGCCCTCGTCGTCCCTCTCCGCCCGCCGCCCGCGCTGGGCCCTCAGCATGTCGGCCGAGGGGGGAGCGGACACGGAGGCGGAGGCGTCGACGGCGGAGGTGCCCGAGGCGACCAAGCGGCTGCTCGAGCAGGCCGCCAAGATCCGCGCCGAGGTGAGAGAGCGCGACCCGCACGAGCAGCTCTGTTTAGTTGGTACAACAACAGTGTCGGCAAGGTGAGAGAGAGAGACCGAACGGCCTCTGTTTAGTGCAGCGATGGTGGGCTCCCTCATTAGTATCGGCGAGACAGGTAAGATCGCACGGCCTCGACTTGACGTCTAGCACAACAGGTACCTCGAATAATACCACGGTATACCGTAAAAGGCGGGGAGAGGTGGCACGTCCCCAAGACCAACTTTCAAGGCTCGATTCGCTCCACAACCAAAAGGGGGTGTGACAAGAGCGCCCCATATTGACACGGCAAGCCCGCCGACGAGGCGTTTCCAAAACCACCCTTTAAGGTGTTGACACAAGCGTGGTTGTGCAGCGATCGAGATTTGAAAGTGGGTCTAGAGCGGGGTGTGCCATGTCTCCGCCTCTCACGGGTAGTCTGGTATAGTGCCGCTGAAATCGTGTTTACACTGGTGGGAAATGCCGATTGCCTCGTTCTCTGCAAGGAGTTAGGAGGCCGCTGTGGACAGTGATGCCGGTGTCTTCGGCGGGCAAGTAACGTAACGGGGCTGTTGCAAGCCCAGGATTCTGCTGTACAGTGCGCAAGAACAGTATGAGAAAATAGCAGAGGGTTAATCTACGCCTGCTCTCTGGAAGAGGTATTAAGTTCTTTGGGTAGCAGTTAGGCTTAGGGTCAGGATCGGTAGACATATGCTATTGTTTGTTTCTTCGCAATCTTGCTCCCGCGGGGGTTGGATTGTGTTTGAGGCTGTCTGCCGGCCACGACGGGACCCATGTTGAGGACACGGCATGTTATTTCAGGCCGGATGGAAAGGCAAGTACAGTAGAACTGGGGTGGGGTGTGTGATGCTTGGGTCCAACACCAATCGTGAACGCCGCCCCCACCAAAGCCAACCCCAAGAACAGCTGCAGAAGGAGAGCTGGGTAGGGGCGGGGTGTGTGATGCATGGATCCAACAACAACTGTGGAGACCAAACCCCAAAAAAATTACATCAGCTAACAACAACAATATCCCCGCCGCTCGCGCTTTGCATCCTCGAACCCGCCGCCGGCCACAGGCGGAGCAGATGGAGCTGAACTTCCGCAAGGAGCAGGGCATCAAGGACTTTAAGCCGTCGGGGGCCAAAGTCAGCTCGGCGGGGGACACCGCAAGGGCGGCGGCGAAGGCGGACCCTTCCAACATGGTCTCGCAGGCGGCGGCGGCGGCGGCGGTGACGGTGAAGTCGACCCCGGAGAGCCGGGCTAAGCTCGTGGCGGAGCTCGAGGGATTGCCGCCAAACTCTAAGGAAGTCATCGAGAAGATGGCGGAGCTCAAGTCGGACGGCTTGGCTCCCAGGTGAGACATGCGTATCGTTGCTGTTAGCATCGACCGCGCGAACCGGCTAACCAGTGGTACGAAGTCAGTCCCAGGCCATCGACCGCGCAAACCGGCTGATCTTGTGATCAGAAGTCAGTCTCAGATTGGGGTAATAAATTGGGCAACCCTAGTAATTGGGCATGACTGTGTTTTCTTGGCACCGCATCCACCACACACACGCACCCTGGATCGCATCGAAACTTCATCCGTGATTCGAGAAGCATTACTGGAGAAACATGCAAGCTCGAATCGACCGATTGCCATCTGTTGTCGGCCGGAAAAACTTGTACGTTGATCAGTGCTGCGTAACGTGCCAACAGAGCAGACAGAACGGGTTGACAATTTTTTCCCATCCCGAGGAAGGACAAACGATAGGCCCATTGAAAATCTTGCACCACCTCGTTTATGAACTCCAGGATACAGCTGTTGGTTTGCTTCACATGAAATCTGAGAGTTGGCGATGTTTGTTTAGGTACAACGTAGTACCATTTTTTTTGTTCTTGAGTTGTTGGGGTTGAGGAACACGTTCGTATCCCGCCGAAAGGATGTCTCTCCTCAATCTGGGCATTTGGGCGTGAGGCGGGACTGACATGGGAGGGGCGAGAGGGACAGGGATATGGAGAAGAGGAGGAGAGGGGGGGGGGG